CTTACCATGCTTACACAAAAGGGCGTGCCATTTGAATGGACAGAAAAGCAGGAGGTTGCCTTCCGAACTCTGAAGCGAGCTCTCTATAGTGCACCAGTACTATCACTACCAGAGGGAACAGAGGCATTCGTAGTTTACTACGATGCTTCGAATCAGGGTTTAGGCTGTGTACTCATGCAGCGTGGAAAGGTGATAGCTTATGCATCCCGACAACTAAAGACACATGAGGTGAATTATACCACCCATGATCTCGAATTGGGAGCTGTGGTCTTCGCCTTGAAAATTTGGAGGCACTACCTTTATGGTACCAAGTGCACCATTTTCACCGACCACAAGAGTCTCCAGCACATTTTAAATCAAAAGGAGTTAAACATGAGGCAACGAAGTTGGGTTGAGTTGCTAAACGATTATGAGTGCGAAATCAAGTACCACCCAGGCAAGGCTAACGTGGTAGCTGATGCCTTAAGTCGGAAAGAATACTCAAATCTTCGTGTGAAGACCCTTTCGATAACCGTTCAATCCCATCTGTCCTTGCAAATCAAAGCAGCCCAGTTCGATGCCATGAAGATAGAAAACAGAACAAGCGAAGCGTTACGTGGAATGGAAAAGAACTTTGAAGTCAAGAAGGACGGAGCTTATTACTTCATGAACCGAATTTGGATCCCTAAACTTGGGGGATTCAGAGAAGTAGTCATGAATGAAGCCCATAAGACACGATACTCCATCCATCCGGGTTCAGATAAAATGTACTTGGATATCAAGCAGCAGTATTGGTGGCCTAACATGAAGGCAGAAATTGCCACTTACGTTAGCAAGTGCCTCACTTGTGCTAAAGTGAAGGTAGAATATCAGAAGCCCTCGGGACTATTACAACAACCGGTAATACCCGAGTGGAAATGGGAAAGGATTTCTATGGACTTTGTGACCAAATTACCCAAGACAACAGATGGATTGGATACCATATGGGTAATAGTCGACAGGTTGACAAAATCCGCTCATTTCCTGCCAATAAAGGAGTCATACAAGATGGAGCGATTGATGATAATATACATCAAGGAAATTGTGAGACTCCATGGAATACCAATATCTATCATCTCAGATCGAGATAGTAGATTTACTTCACGCTTTTGGCAATCGCTTCAGAAAGCTATGGGAACACAACTCGATATGAGCACTGCCTACCACCCACAAACCGATGGTCAAAGTGAGCGAACCATTCAAACGCTTGAAGATATGCTTCACGCATGTGTGATAGACTTTGGAAGGTCGTGGGATACCCACTTGCCTTTAATTGAGTTTTCGTACAACAACATTTATCACTCAAGCATAAAAGCCGTTCCTTTTGAAGCCATATATGGGCGTAAATGTAGATCACCATTGTGTTGGGCTGAGGTAGGTGACACTCAGCTAGCAAGAGAACAGACACCAAGCAATGCATTAACAGGACCAGAAATCATATACGAAACGACAGAGAAGATAGTTCAAATCAAAGCTCGACTTCAAGCATCACGAGACCGACAGAAGAGCTACGCTGATAAACGGCGAAAGCCCTTGGAATTCCGAGTCGGGGATCGGGTGTCGTTGAAAGTCTCTCCCTGGAAAGGGGTGATTCGTTTTGGGAAACGGGGAAAACTAAACCCATGGTACATTGGACCATTCGAGATCCTTGCCCGAATCGGTCCAGTGGCTTATAGACTACAACTACCTGCTGAACTCAGCAGTGTACACCCCGTGTTCCATGTTTCCAATTTGAATAAGTGCCTATCCGACGAAACTCTCGTCATTCCATTGGAAGAAATTGAAATCAACGAGAATCTCCTGTTCATCGAGGAACGAGTTGATATCATGGACAGGGAGGTGAAGCGTACTAAGCAAAGTCGCATTCCAATAGTGAAGGTTCGATGGAACGCAAAGCGTGGACCGAAATTCACTTGGGAACGCGAAGAACAGATGAAACAGAAGTACCCTCACTTATTCTCGCATTCTTAAACTCTAGCTTCAAAAAGAATTTCGGGACGAAATTCCCTCTAACAGGGGGATGATGTCACAACTAGCATTCTAGCTAGGAAATTTTGTACTCTTGTAAACATTATCTACTGGAAACTCGTAACCCTAATTAATGTTATGCTTGAAGTTCAACCTATGGAAACAAATTCAAACCTAGATTCATCAAGTAAAGTTAAAAACCCTAAAAATCCCGGTTTAAGCTCATTATGGACTAGGATTTCTTTACTGGGCCTAATGGGCCAATAACTTCCAACTTGACTATTTTGGGCTTAGAACTCTTAAATGGGCTCTCATTGGGCCCACTCTCATGAGACTTAACCTTTTTGGGCTTTATAAGCCTAAAATGGACTAGTTTATCTTTAATGGGCCTTATTGGGCCATAACAAATCCAATGAGCCTAATGGGCCATAAATCAATTCTTTTATACAAAAATTGGGCCGTGAGCTACCCTAAGGGCCCAATGGGCCGTAAGTTTTCCTTATGGGCCTCATGAACTCGAGCCAAGGCAAGAATGGGCCAAAGTGATTCCTTTCTCCTTCCTTAGCCCATTTCGGCCCAAGCATATAACAAAAAAAACAATAAAAGAAGAGATTAAGGGGAAAGTTGACTTGGAGTGCCACCTCCACATTATCCCCCATGTAACCATGCAAATATCACATACATCCATGCACCTATCACCTTACACCTCTCTTCTTGTTTCGGCCGAAGACACACCACACACACACACAATACACAAAAAAAAATTCTCTCCATTTCTCTCTAAGGCCATCTCCTTCCTTCCTTCAAGGAATTCTCGAAAATTTGGCTTGGATTCAAGAGTCTTCATCAAGTGTTGTCAATCTTTGGTAAGTCTTTACACATCCAAGCTTCATAACTTCACTCTCTTGTTAGATCATTCCTTTAAACAAAGTTTTTGGTGTTTATACTCTTAGAAATCTTCTTGAGTTCGAGATCTACTCAAGGAAGTTGCTAGGGCCAAAAATCACTTCATCTTTCCATCTCTCTCTTCAAAACCGAACCCACAAACCTAAGGTGAGTTCATACCCCTCTATTTTCGGTTTTCATATGATTTTTGGGGGAGAATACAAGTAAAATGTGAAGATCTATGTGTATTTGTATGTTATGTGTGATTTCTTGTGTTTTTATGGTAAATATGTGCTAAAAATGAAAGATATTTCGAGATCTATAGTTCAAGAAGGAAAAATATGTGATCTAGGTCATATTTCACTTAACATGTCAAGATAAACTACTATACAAGCTTTAAAATAACACACTACAACATAAAAAATTGTTATTGGACTATTTTTGATAAATAAACAAAAGATGGGGAAAAAGATGTCATTCACGGTTTCTACAAGGATCAAAAGGTCAAAACAGCCAAAATAAGAGTTTTTATAAATATTAGGCTTTTTAAAGGACTAAAAATGTAAATTTTAGCCTAATGGGCTAAAATTTGGGCTTTTCGGCTATTTAGGCCCAAAAATGCGAAAAATCAAATTTAAGGGGCTGAAATGGAAAGTTTTCTCAAAACAGGGGCTATAAACGTAAATAAACCTATTTCAGGGGTTAAATGGCCTTATTTAAGGATGAAATGGAAAGTTTTCATCAACCCCCATACCCAGTGAGGGTGCCAGCTCACCGAATGGGCCCTAACGGCCCTACGCCTCCCTGGGGTATCGACATTTGGAGATGGAGCAGAAAACAGGGACCTCGACCCCCGTTTGGCATGGCTCGCCAGTTCTATGACTTGAGGGAGGGAGGACCGGCTGACCGAGCACTTCCTGTCATGGTGAGACGGTTACGGAACACTGGCGACCTTGCCCAGGACACGACCGAGCAACTAAATCAGATGCGAGACGCAGTGGCCCGGGCGGAACGAGAAACTCAAGAAGTAATCCATAACTTTCATGTACGTCAAGCGATGTGGGAGGATCAACTACGAGCCACAGAACGACAGGTGGCGCGTCTTCACGGCGCATCCACATCATCAGCCCCACCACCCGACGCATCTCAGAGCACTTCGGACCAGTAGACTACCCTACTAGTGCTATGTTCCCTTATGTTTGCTATGTACTATCGACTCCATGTTTAAGTGATTACACTACTCATAGATTCGTTATGCTGTCGAAGTTTGTACCTCTATGTATGCTCTTTCGAGCAAATTTGCATGTATCAAAGTGCGGATAATATTAGTGGAAAATATTATGTGTTTATTCGTGATGTTGTTATCTGTTATGTGTTTTATGTTCTTATTTATTAGTGTAAATTATGGAAACACTTAGATGCGCAAACCGATTCACGAAATTCCCAACTTAAAAACAATACATACTCAACATCTTTCTGTTCCGTAACAGCAAGATGCCGCAGAGACCAAACCGCGGAAATAACCAACCACCGACACCACCGGAAGTCGACTCAGCTGCGTTTCAAGCAGCTGTATCTGCTGCAGTCACAGCAGCCATGGCGCAAATCCACCAAGGGAACAATGGCGGAGGAAACGGGCAGGGGGCTAGAAGTTTAATCAACGAAATAAATCAAGGACCTACCAAGACATGCTCTTACAAAGATTTTTCCAACGCCAAGCCACGAACCTTTAATGGAACGGGAGGTGTCATAGCCCTAAAGAGGTGGATTTAAAAAATTGAATCTGTCTTTGAAATTTGCGGATGTCTAGATGGGTGCAAGGTCAAAATTGAATCCAACGCCAAGCCACGAACCTTTATATGAAGAACTTTTGTCCCTCTTTGTCATCATACTTTAGATTAATGTTGTTGCATGAACAATTCAAACAATGTAAGACGTTTAATGTGGTTGTATGATGAATGATTGATTACTATGTTCATTTTTAGTGGCGAATGTTGAGCTTTATTACAAATCTGTTCATTTATCTGGATCTTATCAACGATGTTCTTAATGTGCTTGCTCTTCGCGTTGACCATACCCGTGTCGTCGACATCATGCGGAAGGACTTGACTTCATTTTTCAATAACAAATTATGCAATCAAACTCACCTTCTGTGCAAGGCCAATCTCGTCAAAGTTATCGTGTAAGTCAATAGACTCCCAGCCTTTCATAGTCTTCCTCCTCCACACATTGTTGCTCTGAATTGAAACCATATACAGTTTCACAAGTGGAAGGTACCCTGCCTGTACGTATGTAATTAGTATTTGGTAGTTACCACAAAAATCAATACAAGTATAAAAAACACGTTTTTATATAAATAAAAGGAGCAAACCTTTCGCATGATGTCGACGACACAGGTATGGTCAACGCGAAGAGCAAGTACATTAAGAAAATCGTTGATAAGATCTGGTTGCTCTTGCAAGAAAAAATGAACAGCTTTATAATAAAGCTCAACATTCGCCACTTTAACTGCAATATCCTTAAACTGCATGTGGTCCTACGCGTCTGGAGAATGATTCATCATAGTCGATGCAGCGTTATGTGGTTGTATGATGAATGATTGATTACTATGTTTATTATTGCCATGGTTGTGATACATTATTATGTTTCACCTCCGACGTTTCCGCCAACATGGTTTGGGGGTGTGACAGATTGGTATCAGAGCCCTAGTTATAGTATATCACAAGTGGAAGGTACCCTGCCTGTGCGTATGTAATTAGTATTTGGTAATTACCATAAAAATCAATACAAGTATAAAAAACACGTTTTTATATAAATAGAAGGAGCAAACCTTTCACATTGATTACTATGTTTATTATTGCCATGGTTGTGATACACTATTACGTTTCACCTCCGACGTTTCAGCCAACGTGGTTTGGGGGTGTGACAGATTGGTATCAGAGCCCTAGTTATAGTGAATAATAATTTTTCTTTTATAACAACGTACTTGAAGAAAAATTACAACTATAACCAAACATAACCCCAATAAAACACAAAAATATCAAACAGGTACCTGGTCGATGAAATTAAGAAGCAATTCTTCTGTCAGCTCACGGTCGTCGGACTGCGGCGGTCTCCATGGCGTGCAAGTCAATAAACTCACGCAGCCTATCATAGTCTTCCTCTTCCACATATATCTCGTTCAATGCCACGTTTACAGCAGACACGTTGTTGCTCTGAACTGCAACCATATACGGGTTCACAAGTGGAAGGTACCTTGCCTGTGCGTATGTAATTAGTATTTGGTAATTACCATAAAAATCAATACAAGTATAAAAAACACGTTTTTATATAAATAGAAGGAGCAAACCTTTCGCATGATGTCGACGACACGGGTATGGTCAACACGAAGAGCAAGTACATTAAGAACATCGTTGATAAGATCCGGATGCTCTTGCAAGTAAAAATGAACAGCTTTGTAATAAAGCTCAACATTCTCCACTTTAACTGCAATATCCTTAAACTGCATGTGGTCCCACGCATCTGGAAAATGATTCATCACAGTCGATGCAGCGTTATCAAACTCATCATACTGAATATACAAATAAGTAAGCTCCTTCCAGTGTTGTTGCTCATCATAAGCCCTAATCAGCTTCGGAATATTAAGCCGTGTTGAAAACAACTTAATATGCTCAAGAAGCTTTTCATGACGGTATCTCGCGTAAAGAACACCCATCTCGGTGAAAATTCCCATGTGGGCCCGTTCCAACCCTAGACCACTTTCCATCAGAGAGATCGGCTCGTTGAAGCATCCTCCGTTTTGGTAGAACTCGCTCACTTCTTCTAAATCATCCACCTGGACGATAATGTGGAGCCCGCATATCTGAGCCAACCGAAACTCATCAGCATCCACACATGCGAAACAAACCTCCTTCCATGTCTTTGAGCTGTTTGCTTTCCCTGCAGCATCAACTGCTCCTTAAAACTATTGTAACCTTACGAGTGTAACTGCCAGCTTGGCCCAGTTCGGCATAAACGCGTATATTATTTTCGCAGCTTCGTGTAAATCTTCATCTAACAACCGGTCACCGAAATTATGAAGGTTAGCCACATTCGGCATCAAAATGAACTCTTCAATGCAAGAGCATTCAGATCTTATCAACGATGTCAGAGCATTCAGATCTTATCAACGATGTCTTCGACATCATGCGAAAGGTTTGCTCCTTTTATTTATATAAAAACGTGTTTTTATACTTGTATTGATTATTGTGGTAATTACCAAATACTAATTACAACACTTTCGGATCTTATCACAATGTTCTTAATGTACTTGCTCTTCGCGTTGACCATACACGTGTCGTCGACATCATGCGAAAGGATTGCTCCTTTTATTTATAGAAAAATGTGTTTTTTATACCTGTATTGATTTTGTAGAGATTTGCTACAAAACTTTTTCATTTTAAACATGAGGAAAGAGGATGGGTGTTTTGAGTGTTTGTGACCTAATCACCCATACAAAGGCTTAAAGTCACTGACTTTATGGATTAAAATACATTGGGGAGTCCGGATCTGTGATATTAGCTAATGTGTTAACTGATTAAGACAAAAAACGTGAGGAGAGTGAAACTGGGACGTACGATGGGCGTAATCCCAGTACACGCAGCGTAGGGGTCGAGCATCCCCGATGACTTGCATGGCAGCCGAGTACACCCAGCGTAGAGAGCTGGTACGCGCAACATACTCTCTGCCGTTGACTTTCGGTTGACTTTTAGGGTTGGAGGGTAACATGGTCTTTTTCCCTTCTGTGAGTTTGAGGAAGGGTTAGTTAGTGAGAGCCTTATTAATTAGGGACCACACCAATCTTCCAGGGAACAACATAAGGAGCATCTTAGAGAGGTTTTGGGAGTTTTGAGATCGGAGAGGCTATATGCCAAATTCTCCGGAGATGAGGCATGTGGCTGCGTATATTTACAAGAAGGCTGGCAGATGGAAGCAGTCGATTGTATTGTCTAAGAAAGACAAGGTTTACATGAAGAACTTTTGTCCCTCTTTGTCATCATACTTTAGATTAATTTTGTTGCATGAACAATTCAAACAATGTAACACGTTTAATGTGGTTGTATGATGAATGATTGATTACTATGTTCATTTTTAGTGGCGAATGTTGAGCTTTATTACAAATCTGTTCATTTATCTGGATCTTATCAACGATGTTCTTAATGTGCTTGCTCTTCGCGTTGACCATACCCGTGTCGTCGACATCATGCGAAAGGACTTGACTTCATTTTTCAATAACAAATTATGCAATCAAACTCACCTTCTGTGCAAGGCCAATCTCGTCAAAGTTATCGTGTAAGTCAATAGACTCCCAGCCTTTCATAGTCTTCCTCCTCCACACATTGTTGCTCTGAATTGCAACCATATACAGTTTCACAAGTGGAAGGCACCCTGTCTGTACGTATGTAATTAGTATTTGGTAGTTACCACAAAAATCAATACAAGTATAAAAAACACGTTTTTTATATAAATAAAAGGAGCAAACCTTTCGCATGATGTCGACGACACGGGTATGGTCAACGCGAAGAGCAAGTACATTAAGAAAATCGTTGATAAGATATGGTTGCTCTTGCAAGTAAAAATGAACAGCTTTGTAATAAAGCTTAACTGCAATATCCTTAAACTGCATGTGGTCCTACGCGTCTGGAGAATGATTCATCACAGTCGATGCAGCGATATGTGGTTGTATGATGAATGATTGATTACTATGTTTATTATTGCCATGGTTGTGATACACTATTACATTTCACCTCCGACGTTTCCGCCAACGTGGTTTGGGGGTGTGACAGATTGGTATCAGAGCCCTAGTTATAGTATATCACAAGTGGAAGGTACCCTGCCTGTACGTATGTAATTAGTATTTGGTAATTACCATAAAAATCAATACAAGTATAAAAAACATGTTTTTATATAAATAGAAGGAGGCAACCTTTCGCATTGATTACTATGTTTATTATTGCCATGGTTGTGATACACTATTACGTTTCACCTCCGACGTTTCCGCCAACGTGGTTTGGGGGTGTGACAGATTGGTATCAGAGCCCTAGTTATAGTGAATAGTAATTTTTCTTTTATAACAACGTACTTAAAGAAAAATTACAACTATAACCAAACATAACCCCAATAAAAAACAAAAATATCAAACATGTACCTGGTCGATGAAATAAAGAAGCAATTCTTCTGTCAGCTCACGGTCGTCGGACTGCGGCGGTCTCCATGGCGTGCAAGTCAATAGACTCACGCAGCCTGTCATAATCTTCCTCCTCCACATATATCTCGTTCAATGCCACGTTTACAGCAGACATGTTGTTGCTCTGAACTGCAACCATATACGGTTTCACAAGTGGAAGGTACCCTGCCTGTGCGTATGTAATTAGTATTTGGTAATTACCATAAAAATCAATAAAAGTATAAAAAACACGTTTTTATATAAATAGCAGGAGCAAAACTTTCGCATGATGTCGACGACACGGGTATGGTTAACGCGAAGAGCAAGTACATTAAGAACATCGTTGATAAGATCCGGATGCTCTTGCAAGTAAAAATGAACAGCTTTGTAATAAAGCTCAACATTCTCCACAACATCGTTGATAAGATCCGGATGCTCTTGCAAGTAAAAATGAACAGCTTTGTAATAAAGCTCAACATTCTCCATGTGACAACCTGGAACTTCTATCTCGCACACTTAGTCAATCCAATCAAAGTTAAACTTATTTTGTTGACTTCTTGCACTGTTTGAGGGTCCGTTTAAGTGATTCTAAGCTTGGGTATGACCAAGGTTGAGTGTAGGAATGAGTCGGCAAGTCGTATACTGTCAAATCAAGGCCATACACACCCTTATAGGGAGTGTACGGCCGTACACATGGGTGTGCGGCCGCACACACACCTCCTGGCCGCACACACACCTCCTGGCAGCACACTCACCTTTGGACAACATACTCACTCCTATATAAAGGGTAGATCTCTTTTCCTTTCATTCCTTTAACACCTTGGCAGCACACAACACCATTTCTCTCAAGCTTCTTCAACTACAAACCCTCCAAGGCTTCAAAAACGTGAGTAATGCATCCCTTAACTTATTGTGCTTGAAGAACCACTTGATCTAAGCCTTTAATCATCAAGTCCCGTCATGTTCTTCATCTACTTGAAGGAGTGCGGCCGCACACCCACATATGGTGGCCACACACTCCTAAAAGACCCTCCAAAGTGAGAGTTTGACTTCCATATTCGAGATAGATATGACCCTAGCCTTGTTGCACCTTGGAAAATACATTTTGGACATCATATGGTGGGGTGTACGACCGTACACACCTGTGTACAGCCGCACACACCCTAGTGTGCGACCACACACTCAAGTGTGCGACCACACACTCATCCTAGGGCCACAAACCCACTTCTAGGACCCCTAACTTGCACTACAATTGAGTATAGACCTAGGACACTTCATGGATTGCAAGTATGAACCTTGAAACACCCCAAGAACACTTTCCAACATGTGTTTACGGCCGCACACCCCTTGGGCCGCACACCCATGGCCGCACACACCATTAAGGTGGCCATACACCTCACTCCTGCAATCCTTTAAGGTCCTAACACTTAGTGCAAGTAGTTCCAAGTTCTTAGAGTGGTTCTCCATCACATTTAGTGGTGAAATACCTTCATTTGACTCCTTTATGTGTCATTACATGTTAACTAGGATCAAATCGTGTTCAAGGCTTCACTTGAACATCCAGCATTTTGTGTCAACCCATCATTCAAATCACCCGAGGTGAGTTCATACCCCTACGCTTTTCCGAGTTTTCATGTTTTCAGGGGGGAATACAAGCAAAAGCATAAGGAATCTTGTGCTCAAAATACATTATTTTGTTTAAGATAAATACATTTTTAGTATACTTTGAACATTGAATACAGTTTTATCAAACGGTTATGAAATCAAATCGCAGAAACAGTTTTCAGAACCAAGGCAATGAACTTATGAATCATAAAGTAAAATGTATCATTTTGTAAAGAATTCATGTTATTCACAAAAAGGGTTTTCAGTATTATTACCTGTAAATTTGTTAGCCTAGTTGGAGACAAGTCCTTGGTAATACTCACCACCGAAAAACAGAGTGGAGGAATAGTACTCGTGACCAGAATCTCTTGTAGGGAGAGCGTGACTATTGTGTATAGATGTATATGGGACTGACAATCCCGCACCTTACTGCTAGCTACAGTAGGACCGGCAGGTCTACGGGTGACAAAGTCATAAAGGATACCGGCCCCGATACGTGCCATATCCAGTCAGTTATGGTCATGACACTCGCAACGTAGATAACACAGATTTACTTTGGTAATAATGAATCAAGTGAACTAATCTCAAAGTAATAACTGATTTAATTACTAGAGGGTGTTAATAATACCTTCAGGATTTAGTTCATCACGTTTTCTTTTATTTAGTTTTATTTATGTAATAAGTCTAATATGCCCCACTGGGAGTAACCAGGGTTTTTAAAAGAAAACTACGTTTATCAATATAAGTATGGTACATACTTGTACACCTCAGTTCAGAACGGATAACCAATCATCAACTTTTTGGGAAGATATCGGATTTTCCCGGGAGAACTCGGCTTTTCAAAACGAATTGTTAACATGTAACTCACAGATATTCACATTCATTCCACGACACCATGGATTGTACATAACTTGTGTGAATCTGGAAATCATGGGAGGAACGGGTTTTCAAACACGCTTTTCATAAGAAAATATAGGATTTTCTTGAGGAACACTTTTCAAAAGGATCAAAGAACATTTTTCCACCAAAACTAAATGCTTATGAACTCACCAGCTTTATGCTGATATTTTTCAAACTGCTTGTATTCTCAGGAAATTAGTAGACAGATACTTACAGGAGTTCGGAGAAGTCGGAGCGTTAGAGTCATGTCTTTCTATTTTACTTTTGAGATGAACAAAACTATGTATTAAAAAATGTAAACCTTTTTCTTATATGTATTCAATGTCTGGTTGCGTTTACTATGCTTGCTATGATACAAATGTTGTGATACTACGCATGACGTCCTCCAACCCAGGACGTTCCTTCGTTCCGGTTCTGGGGTGTGACACTCCACTTTAACTGCAATATCCATAAACTGCATGTGGTCCCACACATCTGGAAAATGATCACAGTCGATGCAGCGTTATCAAACTCATCATACTGAATATACAAATAAGTAAGCTCCTTCCAGTGTTGTTGCTCATCATAAGCCCTAATCAGCTTCAGAATATTAAGCCGTGTTGAAAAAAGGCTTAATATGCTCAAGGAGCAGTGCGCGGACCGGACCCCGGTGCAGATTTTCGTTCGAGGATGAGATACGTTGGCCCGTCTAGGAGGTCGAGTAGACAGGAGTTTTGTTATGGGTGTGGTCATGGTGGACATTCCCTTCGAGAGTGTCCGACGCTGATGATGGGAGCGGATCAGAACCCGTTCCTTATGATACTGGGAAGAGTGGAGTTGGGATACATAATGAGTGGAGGACAGATAATGTGCTGCTACTGCACATGGATTGGTCATGCCAGGGCTCAGTGCCCGATGTTGAGAGTAGGTGGGGATGACCAGCAGGTCTCACCTCAGGGAGGACCTGGGTCACATGATGGGGTTGAGACTGAGGAGCAGGATCAGGGGGATTCCGACCCTAGAGTCGGTGGTGGCAGAGACACCAGAGATTCTATACGTACCTGTTTCTATATCTTTTATTAATTGTATTTATTACTTATTATTATTATTATACTATGTGTGACCGGAGGGTCTTATGTACATATACTGAGTGTTGAGATATCCTGCTTATTGTTGTTTACTATGTGTGACCGGAGGGTCTTATGTACATATACTGAGTGTTGAGATATCCTGCTTATTGTTGTTGTGACATGTATATTGTGATTATTTGAGTTACTGAGTTGAGGGATCGGAGGTCCCACTGAGACACATTGACCAGAGGGTGTTATCTGAATACAGCCATGAGAGGTTGATGAGATATGAGATCAGGAGTTTTCTAGGATTGGACGGGTACTATCGAAGATTTATCAGAGATTTCTCCAAGATTGTCGCCCCCCTCACCAGGTTGACCCGGAAGGGCATTACTTTTACTTGGGGTCCCCAGCAACAGGCTTCATTTGATACTCTCCGCCAGAGATTATGCGAATCCCCGGTGTTAGCCCTTATTGATAACCGGTAGCTGAACAAGCTAACGGTCAAAAACTGTTACCCACTTCCGAGGATCGATGATCTGTTCGATCAGTTGCAGGGGGCATCTTGGTTCTCCAAGATTGATCTAAGGTCCGGATATCATCAGATGAGAGTTTATGAGGAGGATATTCCGAAGACGGCCTTTAGAACTCGTTATGGGCACTATAAGTTTGTGGTGATGCCCTTCGGGCTCACCAACACACCGACAGCGTTCAAGGACCTCATGAACCGGGGAACATCATAAGGAGCATCTTAGAGAGGTTTTGGGAGTTTTGAGATCGGAGAGGCTATATGCCAAATTCTCCGGAGATGAGGCGTGTGGCTGCATATATTTACAAGAAGGCTGGCAGATGGAAGCAGTCGATTGTATTGCTTAAGAAAGACAATGTTTACATAAAGAACTTTTGTCCCTCTTTGTCATCATACTTTAGATTAATGTTGTTGCATGGACAATTCAAACAATGTAACACGTTTAATGTGGTTGTATGATGAATGATTGATTACTATGTTCATTTTTAGTGGCGAATGTTGAGCTTTATTACAAATCTGTTCATTTATCCGGATCTTATCAACGATGTTCTTAATGTACTTGCTCTTTGCGTTGACCATACCCGTGTCGTCGACATCATGCGAAAGGACTTGAATTCATTTTTCAATAACAAATTATGCAATCAAACTCACCTTCTGTGCAAGGCCAATCTCGTCAAAGTTATCGTGCAAGTCAATAGACTCGCAGCCTGTCATAATCTTCCTCCTCCACACATTGTTGCTCTGAATTGCAACTATCCAACAATGTAACTTGTAACTTGTACCTTTTGACTTTAATTTAAATTAGCCCAAAACATAATTAAGCCCGATACATAAATCAGCTCAAAAAATTAAGGATGTACCCAAAAAGCAACAATCTTACACCTACTTTTCACTCATTTGAAGCATATCGTCTCCATAGCTCGAAGCTTTCTTCCGCTTCTCTCCGGCGTTCACGCAACCACAACTCCACCTTCCCCTTCCGTAAAGGTTTTTCCTAATTTTCCTTTTCCTTTGTTTCAATTAAATTAGAAACAAAAGGATCAGAGAGCAAGAGTGAGAAATTGAGAAGTAGAGAAATCGAAAGGGATACAAATCGATAGATATCAAGAAACAGAAGGAGATCGAAGGAACATACCCGTCTTCTCCAATTTCAGTCAGGTGGTCAAATTGGGAGGTAACTTCTAAAACCCTAGGTTTTTCGTATTTGAAAAGTTGAGATTCTGGAATACATTTTCGACTTAGGTTTGAAATTCTTGAAATGTTAAAGTAGTCTACTAATTACATACGTACATACAGGGTACCTTCCACTTGTGAAACCGTATATGGTTGCAGTTCAGAGATACAACGTGTCTGCTGTAAACGAGGCATTGAACGAGATATATGTGGAGGAGGAAGACTATGACAGGCTGCACGAGTCTATTGACTTGCACGATAACTTTGACCAGACTGCCCTTGCACATAAGGTGAGTTTGATTGCAAAATTTGTTATTTAAAAATGAAGTCAAGTACGATGTCATCGTTCACTGTTAATGGTGTTGCAGAATGAGAAACATGAGCTACTAGAGATGAGGCGTGTGGCTGCGTATATTTACAAGAAGGCTGGCAGAAATGTATCCCTTTTCATTTATAATCTTATAAAATGTTTACATTCCCATACACATATAAGAAGTTAACACCCAAACATACCTACATAGATTCTTTTCAATTTCATGTGCTCTACATTTCAAAATCATAAAGAGAAGAGAGCCAAGGATGAGTAACCAAGGATGAAAAATAATGCTCTTATATAGGCGTAACATTTCAATTAATATATCAATTAAGTAATATAATATGAAAAGTCTTGGAGTTTCAAATACATATTGTATCTGTCACCATCGCATATGTACTCTTTTCTACGATAGGTGGCGAACCAATCTCAATATCTTTTTTTTATTTCCTCTCCCTTCAGTTTCTACGATATGTACTCAACACTTCTTTCGGGACCTTGCTGAAGAAAATGTAGCTGGTCATCTCATTCATGACCAACTGCATGACATCCCTATTGTAATCCATCTTTAGGATTTTGCTATCACGAATCAAAAATTCATCACCTAAACTCCAAGACTCTTTAACTAACTCCAAAACTCGCCCACTTCTTCTAAATCATCCACCTGGACGATAATATGGAGCCCGCATATCTGAGCCAACCGAAACTCATCAACATCCACACACGCGAAACAAACCTCCTTCCATGTCTTTGAACTGCTCCTTGAAACTGTTGTAACCTCACAAGTGTAACCGCCAGCTTGGCCCAGTTCGATATAAACGCGTATATTATTTTTGCAGTTTCCTATAACGCTTCATCAAACAACCGGGCACCGACATTATGAAGGTTAGCCACATTCGGCATCAAAATGAACTCTTCAATATCACTCAGTCTCTCAATCTTTGCATACACATATATAAGCTCGCTATCAACTTTCGGCTCTTTGGTTTCGCGTGTTTGCCGACTTTCGCGTGTATACCGTATATCATATTGATTGTTCCGTTGTAGCTAGACTTGGATTCTTGTTGGGCTCGGAACCCAATCCTGTTGAGCATGGGGCCCACTTACTTGTTGGTGTGGTCCCGGATTATACAGGGGACACTGGTTGTAGAGTGACCGAGAAGCTTAGCAGTGTGGAAGTGTGGTTGTGTGCCGCTATGACGTGTGTTACCGTGAAACCTGAAGGATTAGTAGTAAAAGCGTTATGTAAAATGTTACCGTGATCGGGCGATGGAGTGGTTTCATTGGGGTCTGGCACTCTTGAGGTCCTGCCATTGGTAGGAGTCTCATCAAGATCCATACGAGTAGGGACTTGATTTTGAGTGTCGGAAGACCTTATGTCGCCAAAATCTAACGCCCTGGAATGCAGTGTCGATCCTCTTGCAGATTCGTTGAATCTCGCTTGAAGATTGTCTGCAAGATTTTCATTAGGCAATGAGGAAGAGGAAAACATTTCCGAAGAAGAAGAAGAATGAAGGAAACGTGATTCTGGTGATAAAACCAGGCCGACTCGTTCACAATGTAATCGAAGAGGCTATATGCCAAATTCTCCAAGTGTGATTTCTGGTTACGGGAGGTTCAGTTCTTAGGGAATCTTGTTAATCAGAATGGGATATTGGTCGACCCGGCCAAGATTGAAGCAGTTATGCGATGGGAGGTGCCGAGATCCCCCTCCGAGATCGGAGTTTTCTGGGATTGGACGGGTACTATAGGAGAGTTGGCACCTTGGACTACTCGGTATAGATCACTTGTGATCTTCTCGAATGTCCCGCTACAAGAAAATTGACTGTTAAATAAATTAATTAAATGCGCAAAGGAAGTAATTGAATAAGGAGGGAGATTGAGCAGCCATTTTAAGGCTGAGCCTGTGAGGGTTGAACCAAAACCCTTGCACAAGCATGCTTCCTTTAGGTGTGCTGGAATGGGGATAACTTCCATCCTCTCGCGATATTGGGCTATGTGCTCTTCAGGATCCGTTTTGCCGTTGTAGGACTTCATGTTGGGAGGTTGGAACTTCCTGGGGACTTCGGTGTGTGCGATTGGTCGTGCAAACCTCGAGAGATTATACACGTCGGGAGAAGCCTCTGGGATTGGCTGAATTATCCCAGGTACTCCGGAGATCTAGTCCTTGATCTTTTGAAGCTCCCTTGCCATGGTCGGATCAAGTCCTGCACTGAAACCTGAGGGATTAGTAGTAAAAGCGTTATGTAAAATGTTACCGTGATCGGGCGATGGAGTGGTTTCATTGGGGTCTTGCACTCTTGAGATCCTGCCATTGGTAGGAGTCTCATCAAGATCCATACGAGTAGGGACTTGATTTTGAGTGCCGGAAGACCTTATGTCGCCAAAATCCAACGCCCTGGAATACAGTGTCGATCCTCATGCAGATTCGTTGAATCTCGCTCGAAGATTGTCTGCAAGATTTTCATTAGGCAATGAGGAAGAGGAAAACATTGCCGAAGAAGAAGAAGAATGAAGGAAACGTGATTCCGGTGATAAAACCAGGCCGACTCGTTCACAATGATGGAAGAAGCACGACTCCAGTGGTGCAGCAGATGATACCGGAACGCCCCGCTCTCGATCTGGATGGAATGTAGTGGGAAGTGAGGCGGCAACACCTGTTTCCGCGTCGGAGGAATAGTAGGATTGAAGTACCAAACCTGTGTTTTATTGGGGTTGCAAACTTCATGGTGTTGTGTGTGCGTGTGACAACCATAATAGAGAATTTATGTAAAACACACAAAAAAGAGCTAATAAATAAAAGATCAAATATCATGTAACCAAGTACAGAAATATAAAAGTATCATAAGGAACAGTGTCTAAATAAGTCAACTCAGTGCGCATCACTGAGGAGGGGGATAATGAGAGGGCCCTGGAGCATATGAATCGTATCCGGGGGGAAAGTAGGAGGGTCCGGGAGCACTAGGATCGTAGTCGCGTGGATGGTGGAAAGGAGGAGGAGGGTAGTACTGAAAGGGGAACTGGAAATCCTCGGGAATCGAAATCTGTTGCTGAGCATATATCCCCGTGAACATACGCTCGCTCCACTGCTGGTTGACATCCTGACGGTAGCGGATGTCACATAGACCTCCCTGAACGTCCACCATACGAGTGTCCATCCGAGCGATCTGAGCAGAGAGCTGGTCGATGGACGATTGGGACGCGGGATCAGGACGAGCACGACTGCGACGGGGAGCACGCTGCATGGGCGCCACAACATCGTCAGCACCACCACCTATCAAACCCTCGCAGAGGACCCACCTCCCGTCCACCTGTAAGCAAAAACACAAACATTCGAAGCTAAGTATAAGAAAAACCCAATTATGATAGTTCAAGGAAAGGAAATGGATACCCGATGAACGAGCTTGCCATTCGACCATCCCGAGTTCGTAAGAGCTTAGCAGGAAGCAGATGGAGGCCTGAAAGATCCACACACGAGGCATTAAACGCGTATATTATTTTCGCAGCTTCATGTAAATCTTCATCTAACAACCGGTCACCGAAATTATGAAGGTTAGCCACATTCGGCAGAGGGCGACTGGAGAGATAAGGGAATTTTGGGATTTGAATTCAAATTGTAGACTTGACTTCATTTTTCAATAACAAATTATGCAATCAAACTCACCTTCTGTGCAAGGCCAATCTGGTCAAAGTTATCGTGCAAGTCAATAGACTCGCGCAGCCTGTCATAGTCTACCTCCTCCACTTCATTTTTCAATAACAAATTATGCAATCAAACTCACCTTCTGTGTAAGGCCAATCTGGTCAAAGTTATCGTGCAAGTCAATAGACTCGCGCAGCCTGTCATAGTCTTCCTCCTTCTTTTAAATTGGGCCAACTTAATAAAGATGACGTGATTATTCATCACACTACAAGTGCCAGATGAAAACATAAAGTATGATCAGCAATAAACATAAACATACAGTCAAAAGTATGATTAGCAATAAACATAAACATACAGTGATTACAGTCAAAAGTATGATCAACAAGTTCGTTTGAATCTTTTAAAAGTATGATTCATCCAACAAGTTCACCCAACAAGTTCACCACAAAAACATACAAGTTCACCCAACAAGTTCACCACAAAACATACAACCAAAACTATGATTCATCAAGTAAAATTCCATAAAGTTGCGCTAAAAGCTCCTGAAGTGCTGCAGATTGAGAAGGATCCTCATTATGCCTTGCCAAATCTAGTTTTGCTTCCAGTATCTTTATTTTCACCAACAAATGTCTGTAATGTGGGCAGTTTGCTTCAAGCCCACCAGAACCTTTTCCTGCAGAGGAAGGTCCTGTAGAAGAAGAACCTTTCCTCTAGAGGAAGGTCCTGGAGAAGAAGAACTTGCTCCTGCTGTAGAAGAAGAACCTATTCCTCCAGAGGAAAGTCCTGGAGAAGAAGCACTTGACCAACTTGAAGCACTTGACCAACTTGCTCCTGGTATCACATCGTGTTCCCACCGAAAGAAACCACATCCATGATTTTGCTCCAATGGCTGTCACAAAGTAAGGAAATCATAAGAGTTGTCTTTTCGTGACACACAACCACATTAGGAAATAGATTAATTAATATATAAATACCTTTGAAGTAGGACAAGCATAATAAACTTTATTCTTGTTTTTTAAAGAATTTGCTATCCTTCGAACCATAAGACCGTTCCCACAGCGACATGGTCCATCCATCTGCAGTAACATAAGCCCCTGTCAGAAAAAAAGATGACACGAAGTAGGACAACATGATCTATTTGTACACTACAAAAAGCCCCTGTCAGAAAAAAAGATGACACGCATTTGCGTGTCATAAACTTCAACAACCATTTACGATATACATTTACGACACGTCTTTACGATACACATTTACACATAATACAAAAATACAGAAACAAATATATACCAAAACAATCAATTTCGTTCAATAACATCATGTTAAAAAATTGTAATACATTGGTATTAAGGGGATATGATTGTACATTGCTATTAAGAAGTTTTCCCTAACTATATAACCTAATACTACATTGTTATTAAGGAACACCTTCTTGTTTCTACTTCTTATTGTTATGCTTCTTCTATTTCCAAATGTAGTAAAATACCTTTTGCCAAGAATCCAGGCTTCAATACAGCTCATACCTGTATAAAATATTAAAACAAGAA